CCCTTCCAAGGTGGGACAGGGTCTGGAGGTGAGCCAGAGGATGAGATCCTGGAATAGTGGATGTTCTACATGTTCTATCTCTGAGCGTGCATGTGTGTGTTTTACACCTGAAACATGTGACATGTGTGATCACACACACACGCGCACACGCCTGTGGAGAACCTCGACTGCAGCAGATCCAGGAACAGTAATTCGTTTGTAATTCTGATCTCTTCAGATCACATGCTCCGTTGCAAACAGACTGAGAAGAGAGAGGGGGGGGGGGGCTCTGTCACATGATTTCAGTCTGCTGCTCACACAGGGAAAATAACGCTGACACAGCTGAGCGCCCCCACCAGGACTGAGAGACTCAACACTAAGGACGACAACTTCAAATGAAAAAAAAAGAAAAAGAAAAAAAAGAAAAGAAAAGAAATCTTTAGACAACGCTGTAAGAATCACATGAGCAGATGACTCACATAGAAGTGTATAATTGATACATGGATGCTTCACATAGCTGGGCGCCAAACTGCCCCCCCGCCCCCCCCTCCCCGCTCAGTAAAGGCTCTTGAAAACTGTTGATGCCTCTAAATCATCCGACAGGTTATTTTAAACCTGACTAAACATTAGGACCCACAGACCGACTGGCACAACGCTGCCCTGGGCACACGGCTCATGAGCAAGGCACTAATGCTACTAATGTTAATTGGATTAATGTGATACTCACAACCTTTCTGTCTCAGTTACTGTATTTGTGGAAGGAACATGTTGGACTAACACTGGGGGGGAGGACACACCCGCCCTGCTGGTTTGGTCCAGAAATGACCAGAAAAAAAACAAAAACAACTGGTGGTTCCAAAGGTAAGGAGCGAGGCCCCGGAGTGTTCAAGAAGACAATGTTTTTTAAAGGCTTTGCTCTTAAAATACTATCAGATCCAGTGTTCCCAAAGTGGGGGGCGGGGGTCCCAAAAATACCAAACAACAGGGGCTGATACAGGTGTGCGATGCAATATATTGCATTTACAATAAGAAACAATATTGAAAGCAATGGTTCCCAAAGTGGGGGGCGGGGGTCCACAGCATGCCCAGCAACGCTATTTAATTTAAAGACTTTTTCACTCGTCCCCCAGAGGGAGAAACAATATTGAAAGCAATGGTTCCCAAAGTGGGGGGCGCGGCCCGCTGCTCTAAAGTGAGTTTGGTTTAAAACCAAAGGCAACTTCTCTAAAAACAAATTGTCACAAACAGCAACTTTGACCTGAGGTCAAACAAAATCACCACAGCGCCACCACCAGGTCAGACTGAAGACTAAAAAAAACATCTGAAAACATGATACTGTCTGGAAAGGTTAAACAAACAACGTTAAAAATGACGTCCGATAAAAATGTTATCGCCAGTTTATCCTTTAATTTGGTTTTCAAAGATACGTTCGCATTTAACGTCCAGCAGACCAGCACCTCCAGACCACGACCTCCAGACCAGCACCTCCAGACCAGCACCTTCAGACCAGCACCTCCAGACCAGCACCTTCAGACCAGCACCTCCAGACCAGCACCTTCAGACCAGCACCTCCAGACCAGCACCTTCAGACCAGCACCTCCAGACCAGCACCTCCAGACCAGCACCTCCAGACCAGCACCTCCAGACCAGCACCTTCAGACCAGCACCTCCAGACCAGCACCTCCAGACCAGCACCTCCAGACCAGCACCTCCAGACCAGCACCTTCAGACCAGCACCTCCAGACCAGCACCTTCAGACCAGCACCTCCAGACCAGCACCTTCAGACCAGCACCTCCAGACCAGCACCTCCAGACCAGCACCTTCAGACCAGCACCTCCAGACCAGCACCTCCAGACCACGGTCAGACTCAGAGACGGACGTCTGCACCGTGTCCTCCAGTCTGGGGACATTAGCGATGGTTGTTTCTCACCTGGTTCTCGTCACTGTTCTTCATCATGACGACGAGGCTGCGGCTCTGTCCCTGCTCTGTCTCCTGTCCTGTCCTGTCCTACACTGTGGGCCGCCACCACCTCTGCTCTGCACATTAACACGGCAGCATTAATCCATCACCGGCATCAAACACACGGCTGGCAGAACGCAGATAGCATCAAAACCAGGTAGGACCTGGTGGACAAGCCTCCGCCCTGTTCCCGACTCTCAAAGAGCCATTGTTGATGTTTGACATCTTTAATGTCCAAACTGGACCGGTTCATCATTTACTGTGTCCTCGTCTTTCTGGTCATCTGTCCACTTTGTCAAAGGGACGATATCTGTCAGAGGGTTAGGGTTTTTCTAGACAGACACCTCTAGGACCAGACACTCAAATAATTTTTTTTTTCAAATCCAGAGTCAAACCTAAAGGGTGGAATTTATTGACAGTTATTTTAGTCTTAGTTTTATTTTTTTTTTCTCAGTTGCTTTAATGGTGAGGACCACAGTATATGTGTTCTCCTCACAATCTTGGGCCTGATTGGACGGATCCAAGCTCTGGTTTAGGAGATTATGATGATGAATGTATTATTATTAATATTAATAATAATGTAGTAAAGAACAAGGTCAGGATTCAGAACTCTTCAGTTTCTGACTGAAACAGTTCTGTTTGAAGCCTGGACTTGTTTTTTGTTTTTTTGTTTTTTCTTCCTCTCAGTTAAGGAGAAGAAGAATATTCCTGAGAAATAATCCTAATTCCTGAACAGACTAAACACCACAGGACTGATCATTTCATTTCTGTCTTTGATGATAACGATGACGTAACCAACAGTGAAGTGAAGACGTTCAGACACATGAATATAAAGCAGTGATCCAAACAACAGTGTGAGAGCAGCATTGATCCCAGTGACTCATTAACGTCAGCTGACTCTGGGCCGTCTCCATCAGTCAACTCTGTGTTTTCCTCCCTGTCACCCGTGACCTTGGGTCGGCCGTGCGACCCACAGGATGACATCAGCGACCTTTCATCCACGCACCAACTCAACCTTCCCACAGAGAACATCCGAGGACACCCAAGTTCCTGTTCTGTTCCCACTGGTTCTCCGCTCCCCTGGTGGTGGCCCGCGTTACTGCCCCACAGTTTCCTCTCGTTCTCTCTCTCTGGTCTCTGCAGAAAGGCCCAGATGTGAGCGCAGCGCTCTGACACTCCCGCCCCGCATCATTAGTTCACGTCCCACTCCAGCTAACAGTACCACCTCCAGCTCTGACTGCGGAGGGTGAGCCGTTACTTCTCTTCCAGCGAGTCTGTGTTCAGTCTGTGTTCTGTTCAGACGCGTCTTTTATGAGCAGGAAACAAGGAAACAGAGAAGGTACGAACAGAGAAGCAGCAGAATAAATGAGAGAAGTGGGAGACACTTCAACAAGTAAACAACGGCAGGAACAAGCTGCTGGACAGGGAGGAGAGACGGGGAGGGGGAGGAGAGGGAGGAGGGGGGGGCAGTCATGACGAGAGCTGCTGGTAGATGCAGACGTTCAAGGACACGGTGACCTTGAGAGTTAATTAAAAAAATAACAGAACACATTCCTCTTAAAGGGACACGGCGGAGAGAACGGAAATGTGTTTGTCTCGGTCTGGAGTTAGAAGAAGAAGAAGACGTTTGTCCTTAACGTTTGTCCATTGATGTGTGTGTGTGTCCATGTATGTATGTGTGTGTGTGTGTGTGGCCCTTAAAACAGTATTGTTTTGTCCCTTAGCACAAAGTTAATGATAAAATCTGACCCACTCACTGACGGACAGATCTAGAGATTACCCCCCCTTCTTTACACACACACACACACACACACACACACACACACTTCGACAAGCTCGCGCACCCCCCCCACACACACACATACACAGCTTCACTAATTAACCAGAACAAGAACACTGCCTCACACACTGCACAAGCTGTCGTGTTCTAATTAAAGCACGACGCGGTGGTGACGGCGGAGCAGAGACGAACCAAACTGTAAACCTCTGTTTGTTTGTTGTTTGTTTGTTTGTCATGAGTCACTTCAACCTGGTACCAAATAATCCAACAGAATCCCACCAGTGGAACGCTGGTCCGTCCCAGTTCACAAACCAGTCAACAAAAAACTAAAAAGAAACGACGTCGACTTTCTGACCGTTTTCAGTCCAAAAACCGTCCCCAACAAAGAAACGCCAAGACACCGCGTGGAACCGATGGTCCTTACCAGAAAGTGGTCAATGTTCAAAACAGTGTGAAAGGTGTTGATGGGCTCCTTCATCCGGTCGGTCATTCCTCCGTCGGTCAGGACTCACCCGTGGGTTCGTCTGTTCTACAAATCTGTCCTTGTCTTTACAGACGGACTGTACTGCTACCTGTGTACGGCAAAGTACTCAGTGATGGACAGGTATGGCCAGAGCTGCAGCACACACACACACACACACACACACACACACAGAAAGCTGCAGAGGTTAAAAAGACACTTGAGGCCTGACAATAAATTGTCAGCAGCTCTTAATTCAGGAGGATTTGAACCTCAGTCAAATACCAGCGCTGCAGCAGCAGGACCAGGACCAGGACCAGGACCAGGACCAGGACTGGACGGATAATCCATCTAACTGTACTGTACTGTACTGTACTGTACTGTAAACATGATCACATTTTCATTTTTTCCCACCTCGGCTCGTGGACCGTCACTGGAGTCGTGACATTTTCACAATAAAATTCCTCTAAATTTTCAGCTTGCTCGCCAACAGCAAAACACACCAATCACAGCCGTCTCTCTGAGATCAGGTGACTTCAGGTCACCACCAGTGACAGGAGTAAATGTGTTGTACTGAACACAGAATTGTATTGTTTACAGTTTTGTTCTGGCCACAGGAGGCTAAAAAACACAAACAGAAACAGGAAGAAATGGGAAAGTCATGTCTCCACTAGATGGCGCCTGAGCACTTTAGGGAAGTTGGAAATGAAGAAAAAAAAAGTTGTAAACCTACTAACTTACTCTCTTTAACGATAAAGAAGAATGACTCCAACCACCGGGGGCAGCAGAGGAAGTTTGAAAACAACTATTTAGAGTTTGGAGTTTTTTATATTAATATGTTTAATATATATACATATATATATATTAAGGAGATATAAATCTTGTTATTATTAATTATTATAATAATTGTGCGCGGCCTCCTCCGTCACTCCTCCTGCTGTAACTTCTCATCGTCCCTTGTCCCCATCCATCTTACCCCCACCCCTGAGGTGAAACCCTACTCGTGGGTAAAATTAGCAGCAGTGTGACCCAATGTTCACTGACACACATCTCCGTACCGCTCCTTCACTCACGCTGCCCGTCTATCTCGTCTTTCGACCCATCTGTCACAGCCGTGGCCGCACCTTCGCACCACAACAACCACAGGTTACTGACGACCTGAGCAGAACGCTGCCGCCCTGCTGCCGCTGAACCAGTACGACACAGGAATCTGAGGAACTGAAAACGCAGCTCCGGTGATATCATATGAAACGTATTCGCTTCGTGGGCTCCATCCCAGTCCGTCCGGCCCACGGGATCTTTGGCAGATGAACACGATCCCTTTTATGAGCCTCTAACATTTGAGACTTATGAGATCCATGTCGCTGCTGTTGACATTCTCACAGACTCAGCTCGGCCACAGAGCCTTACTTTTATCCACATCTCTTGGAAAATGTTCTTCAAAAACACACACACACACACACACACACACGAGCAGGAGCCCCATGCCAACACAGTGGGGCAGCAGAGAGTCGACACCAGCAGCAACTGTTTTCATCTCGTGGCAGGAGCGTGTCTGTCAGCGTGACACGAGTCCAAGAGGGAACTTCCCCTAAATTAAGGTCAAGGGTCACCCCCGGCGGTGGGACTGGGAAGCAGTTAACATAGCTCCACAGAGTGGGTTTGGTGTTGGTTTGGTGGGCGGCAGGATTGGAGGATTTGGCCGTCGGAGGTGAAAACGATGAGTTCAGTTTTATTGGCAAACGGAAAATAATAAAATAAAATCATTAACTATCATTTTTATTAGTCTATGCCATTCTCAAACTGGGGGGCATGGCCCACTGGGGGGACACGATGTTATTGAGAGCGAAAGCGCCGCAGGTCAAATTTATGAAATTTTCTTTATTTTTCTTAATTGTTATAATGTGAAAAAGAAAATTACGATATTTAAATTTTTGTTTTATAAAGTTTGGCCACTCGTGTTATACAGTATTTATATATATTTTTATATATGCTGTTGGATTACCATTTTACCACAGCCTATGACTGTCGAGGACCACAGTATCGCCCCCTACAGATACGATACATATCACGATGCAGGGGCAACAATACGATATACTTCGAAAACAGAATATCGCAATATTTCAGTGTATCAATATATATTTTTTAAGTGTCCTTATTACAGTGAAAAGTATTTCGTTAAAATTATAACGACTTACATTTCGATACAACAACAACAGCTACATTAGCACAGCATCACTGCAGCTACGGTACCTTCACCCCCCCCCCCCCCCCCCACCTCACGCCA